TTCGACCAGGTTGCACCGGCCGTGGTCACAGGCTGACTGGCTCATCGGCGCACGCCCTCCGTCGTCGAATCCGTGAAGTAGAAGGCTCTTCATCTACCCGCACATTTTCGATATTGTTTTTGTGTCGCCATGTAGCGTCACATACCACACTAACAGTGTCCCTATTCTGTAAGCAAACCGATGAGTCCCTATTCTGGTGTTTAACCGATTGCGCAGAAAAGCGAGGTGGTATGTTTTTTAACACTGGATTCCACGCTGTAGATAATTTAAAACCATCTTCCCGATTGAAAGTTTTATGCTTTTTAATCTCAATCGCTTCACGTACAACTCTTGAGTAAAAGTGACGTTTGGTGGAGAGGACTTGCGTGCGGTGAAATTCAATCCAGTGGTTGATGCCTGCATCGAGTGCATGTTCTGCAATCGCTGATTTGCTCGTCTGTCGGTTCTTCACAGCAGCGATATGCTCTTTGACCCTTTCTGCAATAGTCCGCTTAGTTTGGCCTATGTATGAGCTTCCGCAGCTGCAGTCTATTTTATAAACACCCGGAGTTTGTAGTGGCAATGTATCCTTCGGTGTGCCGACGATGTTGTGAACCTTTATGCCTGGTGTGTATACTGTCGGAATGGAATATTTAACTAACTCCCTTGACATAAGGCATATAGGCCGGTTGCCTGTTCACTTCTGGATACTTGCGTCTTATTTTCGGTTGCTTCCGTCCTCCTTTCACTTGATATCCGTTACCTTTGAGTACCTCCTGAACATGTTTTAGCTCCTGTTCTAAATGTTCAGGGTCACAGAGATCGTAAGCTCTGTTTTTGAGTGAAGTCATAACAGATTGCAAGTGCCGGGGGTGATGATGAGACGTGGCGTGTAGGTATCTGTCCATATGAGTAGGTTTACGGTACACACAGTGTGACAAGGACCCATCCGATCTCACGGCTACTTTAACATCTAAGAAGGACAACGACCTGTCCGTCTCCATTTCATATGTAAACCTCATTTTGGGGTGAATAGAGTTCAGATGTTGTATATATTGATCCACTTCTTGTTTGTTTCCTTTGACGATACTGAAAATGTCATCCACGTATCGCTTTCATAGCTTAACGGTATTCGGGCCGAGATTTAAAGCCTTCTCTTCAAAATGTTCCATCCAGATGTTGGCCAGTACTGGGGCTACAGGACTTCCCATCGCGACACCATCAATCTGGAGGTAATGTTGACCTTGGAAAAGGAAATAGTTGCCTTCTTAACAGTGTTCAAGTAGATCCATATAGTACATTAATTTTGCAGGAGACATGTTCCTTGAACAATGGTGTTACGATATTCAAATAAATATTTCTCTAATTTTTCTTTAATTATGTTTAAACAAGTTTGAATTTGTATAATAGATTTTAGCATTTTCCTGCTTCCCAAATTCTTTACAATTCCACTCTTACACCAATATGGTTTTCTATTTTCAAAACATTTTACCCAAACAGATTGTTCAGTTATAAACGCTCGGGTGGCATTCTCAAGACCTTTAGACTTGACGGAATTTTCCGCTTGGCCGTTACTACCGCTTGGGTGTTATATAGGTGAAGTTATGTGCTCCATTCCGGTAGTTTTGCAAAACTAAAAAATTCTTGAGATGCTATTTTCGGGTCATGTGCCGAAACTAAACGTCTTGGTAAAAAAAACTTGCAAATAACGATTTCAGATTTTTTATTAAATGTTTAGTTCTAATACCTCCCCCCATATCTAAGCACTCGAGCCATTTACTATAATGCGTCGATTACCACTAAGTATGACCTATGCCCTACACTCAAGTAATCTACTCGTATGTGTATTCGTTCGCGCGGGCGTCGCGATTGGAGGGGATGACCGTAATGCGCTACATAGTCTACATACATCGCAACTACCTATTAAATGTTCGATCTCCTTATCAATGCCCGGCCACCACATAAGAGAACGCGAAAAGTAAATCGCATATCGTATTAAGCGAGACGCTATAGCGATCGCTATTCCGTTTTTATTGCCAAAAATATTCAACAACGGCCTGTGATCTTTTGATCTGTGATCTGTTGTAGGATAAAAGGCTGTTGTCGACCAAATAAGTACGGTTGAAAGCGTTTTACACCAATTATTATGGCCGCTGCCTCATTGTGCAGCTGACTATAATTGCGCTTTTGAGTGTGGATCGCTTTACAAGTAAGCGACCTTGACCCAAATGCTAACGGACACTCCGAGACGTCTGTGATAGCACGGCTTCCGGGCCGTCGGGACTCGCGTCCACCGCCAGGAAGATTTGCGCGCTCTCGGGGTCAGCTCTTTTATTATTTGTTCGAAAGCCACCTGGTGTCTGTCTGTCCACTCCCACCGCGCGTTAGTGCGTAGTTATTCGAGAAGAGGTGACAATATTGACGACGCATTCGGAACGCAATTACGATCATAGTTAATCAACCCTAAAAATCGTTGAGGTTCAGTTATGTTAGTAGGTACGGGGGCCTTGTTTATAGCATCTACTTTACTTGAACACTTATGTAAGTCCAAATGCTTCAAGTAATTAACACTGTTTTGTAAGAATACACATTTTTTTAACCGTAATCCAGCTGTTTTCAGGCGTTCAAATACTTGTTCGAGACGTCGTAAATGTATGATTTTATTTGGTCCACTGACAAATATCGTCCAAACATATTGCCATATCTATACCCGTTAATAAATGAATGTCTTTGTTCAGAGCAATATAATAATCCGCACATATTCTTACCTGGCCGTTTGATTTTTGTACGGGGAATATGGGTATTGCGTAATCAGAATGAGTAAACGGAACAATAATACCTTGTTTTATTTAACTAATTCGTTTTCTACCTGCTCCTTGATAGTTCGTTTTGGAATCATTCAGAATATTTATTCAATAATTTTTGTATATCGGTCTGATTCGGTCTTAACATTTCTAATTTATTTGACACGAAATAAATACGGAATTTGGTCATAAAATCACGCCTAAGGAGTGGACAGTCACCACCATTTTTAATTACATAAAACGTTGTACTTTCTTTGTGGTTATTAAATATAACCGGTAAATAAAAGCCATCAATACACACAGACTACAATATTGGTTCATTAATAACGCACCTTAAGTTGAACAGTTGACATTCTTCGCAATCGTAACTGTCATACGCCTCTTCCGTTCCGTTACGTTCAGTTGACTCCATACCAATATTGTTCATCTTAAAGTCGCACAGTTTTTTCATGTATCCTTTATTATTGCACTTGTTACACCGATAATTTTTAAACCGACAACACTTTGCTGTATGATTCTCGTGTCCACGCACATTGCACCAGGTCGCGGCAAAGTCACGAGTACGCCTAGTCTCGCTGGTGCTGCCACCACCAAACGTAAACGCCGCATTCGCCTTGAACAGTGGTTGCTCCTTGACCGTGACTGGTTCATTAGACTTAGCCTGCTTCACATCTTCCCTCAGTCTATCACGTTCCGGTCCTGATCGGAACCCTAGAACAAAACGATCACGCAGCAAGGTGTTTAGCTCTGTGGCAAATTCACAGTGTACAGCTAGACCCCTTAAGCGTGTTGCCATTATTCCATACTTTCGCCATCTACCTTCTTCGCTCCATAAAAATTATCCCGGTCCGCAAAAGTGGATCTCCTTGGAGTGAACTGAGCGTTAAGTACATCCACCAGCTCTTTGAATGTCGCCTGCCTAATTGATTTGGGAAGTAGCAAGTTGCTAAGCAATCGATATGAATCTTCAGAAAAGTTCGTCAGCAGCGCCGCACAGTGTTTTTCGTCTTTAATGTCATTCAATTTAAAAACCATTTTCAACCTTCCGTAAAAACTGTTCCATTCCATGGTCTTGTAGTCGAAACATCCTAGACTTCCAGTAAAAGTGGTCATTTTAGGTCGTTTATTTTCCTTACCAATTTTTTTATTTCACGACCACGTGTCGATGGGTAGGTATAATCCTCGTCGCCAAATGATATGTCGGTAGGTGGTAAATAAATAACAACCTGTGCTTCAATCAATAACTAGTTTATTACTGTCTCATTTGACAAGCCCTCGTACATAAGTGTGTGGGTAGCTAACTATGTACATGTTATTACCATACATAACAATAACACAAAATTTCAATTTAATTTAATGATTATCCGCAAATCCTATACTCAAATTAAACATTCCATAAGAGGGTTTTCCAATTTATGGGTCTCTACAGGGACTCATAAATAGACTTGATCAGCAAGGACACAATTAACAAATTGTGTCGGCTTTATATCTGTCATACACAAACAGATATATACGACGAGGGTTAAAATCTCATTTATCGTCCATAAAAAGTAATAGGTTAATAAAATCGATCTATTAATTGGCGAAGGAAAACATTACAGTTACCGGACGCAGCCTTCAAGGCTTGTGTTTATATTTTTGAACAAGAAGGTTTATTATTTTTCATGTTGTTTAACTTGAACAGTACAACGTCTCCCTACAGCCAATAAGAAACGATCGTGAACATACACATATTATAATAGGATCTCGTACTTAAACCAACCAAAAATATAAATATCCATATACTCTATGAGTGATATGGATAGATAAGGTGGTCTTCAAAAGATAACGCGTTTTGAGAGTTATTTGCGGGCATTAGGTATACTTTTAGCAGGGTGGTACCTTCTTTCGCATCGAGATCTTTGGTACTTAGTTATGAGAAGAAACATAAGATTATGCTTATAGCGTTCTTGCAATTTCTTTTTAACCGCAGAAGAGTTTTATTTCACTTAAGTAATACTAGGTAGTTTGAATCCTACGTTTTTAATAATAGCAAATTATCCTATCGTCTTTTCTGCAATAAACAAATTCATACGACCTTAATAATAACATAATCTATGTATCTGGAAAAATAGATATGGTAGCTTTTCTGATGTGAGTTTTATTATAAAAATATACCCGACAAGCATCTTGCTACACTTGATTCAAAAGCGTATAAATTATTGGAAAATCGCTTACCTGAGTTGAAACTGATACGGCTGAGCCACCCGCACCTCCACCTGAAATAAAAAAAAGAAAATTCATTCAATTTCAATCAAATTTAGAGGTAGAAAAATCACATTTGGGAGCACAGGGAACATGGGGTTCCCACACGGGGGGGGGGGGGGGGGGTCTACTCGTCTGTAGATGACCCGAGGTATGTCGGGGTACGGCGTGCGGTTTTCGTCGGTTCGAGTCCGACATGCCACCGACAGGACACGAAAAAAACACCGACACGGAAAAAAAAAAAAAAAGGTAGAAAAATCACATTGACTTGGAACGTATTATTTTTTTATTTAAAACATTTGACTTTATAAATACTAAACGAAACTCTCTAGCAATTCCTTATAAAACATTTCTTTAGAAAAAGTTTTTTTTTCGAGATTTATTATTTATATATATTATTTCCATTTGTTTATTTTAATATTTAAGTATATCTATATGTATATAAATACGTTAAGCAAATTAAATTTATATTTTTTAACGAATGTGATGGAGGAAATTCATATCTGGAATAATCAGAAAATTAAATTGTTTAAACAGTATGTGCTGCAAAGTATAACTATGTAAAAACGGTAACAGAAAATTATAGGGGTTCAATATATATTTTGACCTGTAATGGTAATAACTGTAACTGTAAAAGAACATTTCACCAAGTGAGTGTAGTTTCTGTTTCTTTTGGACGTCCATGTCCATACATCTAGGCGTGAATGTCTGTGCTGACCCACAAACAAATACCTACCCCCCGCCACCCTTCCCCCTCGCCACGCTTGACGTGAAGTTCTGCAATATAAGGGGTCTACACCTCTACCTCAATGCTGTCCACTACCACCTCGCCAGCCTTGCTTTTTTTAACCGAGACGAAGATATCATCTCCATTGGACACATCCTACCTCTCCTACCACGGCAATCATCTGGAACACTCATTTCTACGCAGGGGCACCTCAGTACCAGCTTCCCTCTCTAGACCGCATCAAATGAATACTTTGCATTCTCTATCGTATATATCATAGAGAGTGCTCTGAGGAATTGTTCGGACAATTATTTTTGCCATCGTTACACATGGCAAAATATCATCATCCCCATCACCTGCATAATTGGCGCTCCATCACTGTGCGCTTTTTAAGACATTTTTTGCCTCGCACAACTAATCTGTGGAACAAGTTATCGTCTGCGGTATTTCCGGACCGATACGACCTTCAAACCTTCAAGAAAAGAGCGTCCTCCTTCCTAATAAGCCACTGTGTGACTCCTGCAGGCGTTCATGGGTTTCGGTAGTCACTTTCCATCAATTGACCCGTCTGCTCGTCTGTCCCCTCTTCCATAAAAAAAATAATGACCACAATTTTTTCTGGTAGTTATTTTTTAGTAAGTTTGTTAGGAAGGATGTCAGAGATTTAATTTAAACCTAATTGATAAAACAATTAAGTCTACATTTATAATGGAAGTTTATATTCTCTATTTGTTACATAATTCTGTAGAAAAAGCAATTTCTTGTAGCACTTCGACTTCACTGGGACAATACATGCAATTAATTAAATAACGTGCTGCTAATGGAACGAGTGCGGTCGCCTGAACAGTGTGCTGTGTGTGTGTGTGTTTACCACTTTACGGTGTACTGTGTTTTAATTAAAATAAAATTAACCTCATGCGTGATTTGTACGTAAAAGTAGGACTTTAGGACTGCTAATGGTGGTTAAATTTCAACCACAGTTATTTTTTTTTGTTTTATATCAACGACCAACGTTAGATGAACTGGCATTATATAGACTTGCCGTACCCTTTTTTTTGTTTACAATAATACTAAATATATGAATTGATTTATAGCCTTAGCCCTCGTTATCATCAGCCTATCGCAGTCCACTGCTGGACATAGGCCTCTCCCATTGCACGCCACTTAGATCGATTTTGGGCTTCCCGCAAAAGAGAATGCAAAGTATTCATTTGATGCGGTCCAGAGAGGGAAGCTGGTACTGAGGTGCCCCTGCGTAGAAATGAGAGCACTATTCCATATGCGGCCGAACTTGCGCTGAAGGCGGTGGGCCGGAGTGAAATACTGCCTCGCTCTGTTCAGCACACCAAGCACACCAAGCTTCCTTGAGGCCAAATTCGAAGCCTTAGTCTAACTATGGGAAAAAGTTTTTCTTTTCAGTTTATTTTATATGTGGTTTTCTAAGGTAAGGTTCTCACTGGGCATGGCTGCTTCGGTGAGTACCTGAATCGGATTGGACGAGACTTAAACGTGATCTGGATAGGCTGATGGGCAGGGAGAAGCCACTGGCTTTTCCTGAGATAGGGACTAGTTAGGTGCGGCGTCGATCTGAAGGGGGTCTGAAATTACATGGCAAGGGTTTTCCCCAAAGCGGGACACCTAATGCTGGCCGTCGGATGGTTTTTAGTGGAAACACCACATACTCCTACCGCATCCCCAAGGAGCCGGCGATCCGAAAGGATATAGACCCCGTCAACAAAATAAAAATAAAAAAGGTAACTCGACAGATTTAGTAATAGTATTTACACAAAATTGCATTCAATCTTCGTTTAGGTTAAAACCTACAGACATTTGCAAAACCTATTTTCAAGAAAATACGTTACGTTACGTTTCGCACCAATCGATCTTTACCTTCATTGTTTCGTATTTCGGCCACATAGTGAGCATAGGTGATAGAAATCAGAAAATGGTGGTTGGAAAACCAACCTCAGAAAGAAATTTTTGAAATAGATAAATACCACACCATCATATCTGTGAAAGAAGGAAAATAAAAGATCATAAAATTTTTACATAAAACTAAACACTTATTCGAAATCTAACGTTTTATGTTCTTTGCCTGCATAGCTTGACGCTATCATATCCAAACATGCATTTACCAGAACGTCTACGATGACACGAGACTGTGATTTATTCACTTTGCCCGAGGCTATGCGATATGACGCTGTCGGTCCTCCATTAGCTAGGCGTAGTATGAGCTATACATAGTTTAGTCAGAGATAGTTGCGAGATGTCATTTTGTCTAATGAAAACTATCGTTGTTAAGTGACGGAATTTGGAGTGCTAATCCTTAATGCTATTGTTACAACTTCTAGTTACAACTTTGGTATTGTTACAGCTTGAGTTTATTCGTTAAATGAGTATCAGATTTCAATTGATTATTTTATTGCCAGTATATTTTGCATGTCTCTTTTATACTCATGGCACTGGTTAACATCTTAAGCCACTATTCAAGCCCGTCGATATTTAGGTGGAAATAAATAAACGTTTCAAGAAAGTGCAACGAACGTATTTTGTTAGTAGAAAGGTTTCAGGCTTAAGAGCACAGATAGAAATAAAAGATGTGTTGCCAACTTATTACAAATGTGGTTGCATTCTTATTTATCAACAAAGCCAAATTTATAAGTAAAAAAACAAGTCACAAATACTATATCAAATTCTTTACTTTTTTAGACTTATAGAGCGACAATATGTAACTAAATGCCTTCTTATTGCTTCTAGCTATAGATTAATTTACAAATTTGTTAGGGAACTACTACTCTTAAGCAACCGGAGTAAACTCAGCCGTGAAATTGTTCCCTCTTAGTCCATTGTATATGCTACCATCCTTCCATTTCATTTTTTTTTTCAAGCTAACAGCTTAGCTAAAAGACGGAGTCACACTTGACTGTAACAAAAGTAACAGTTTTTAATTTTAATATTTCGCAATCAGATAAATGAATCAATGAATAGTCTCACCACTATCTTAATGTTTTCAAAAGTCGGACTCCCAGTAGTATGCTACAGGGTATTCGAGATAAGAAATCATTTACACTTTAGACTATTCATACCGTTTTTATTTTTCAAGTATTATAAACCAAGCCTTGTTACGATTGTGACTACAGAACCGTAAAAACAAACACGTTTAGAAAAAGGACTTGACACGTTATAATGATTAATCAGTTGTTAAACACACACTTCAAATATTTTAACGATATCATGTATGATGAGTTTGTTTTGTACATTCTACAATATCTTTGACAAATATTACACTCAATATCATTAATGTTTAGTTAAGAAAAAATATAAATATTTGAAAAGGTATTGTCGTATTTTCAAAACATGTTTCACTTAGTTACCATTCCAATTATGACTGAAACCATGCAGACTTGAAATTATATTTTTGTAACATATAAAATGGCTCCGCAGCACTTTTCTGGGGTCTGTGCTGAGTCGACAAAAATGAAACACGAGGAAGAATTTTGCCATATCATATACGATGTTCAAATGAAAAGATGTCAAAATTTTTAATGAATATTTAAATTCTGTTAGTCAAGCACAGATCTTAGCGTTAGTTAAGGCTGTTTTCCAAATCATTTTCACTCGGAACCGAGTAGAACGCGTTTAAAGTAACTTAATAAAAAAATCTCCTCTTGCTTAAATTTTTTGTATTAACACTCTTGTAGTTTGTTTTCTTTTAACTGTACCTGCATTTAAAATAAAATAGTATAGTACCTGCTAATTAATAATATCATCTTACTTCTTAATAAAACGTGTTCGTCGCGTTTTGCGCACAGATGAACTCTTCTGCTGAGGACTAAAGACATGTACCTAGAAATATACCTAGTGTAAATTGGTCATCCCGTTTAATATATGAGCTTTTTATTTTATTAATTGACTGGCAAACGGAACGGACGGCTGACGGATTAAGATTACGGAGTGTCATCGCCTCTATTAATCCCATGGGTGTCGTAGGAGCTGATTAAAGCAGCAAACTACAGGACAACAGCACTGCAAATAAAGGAAAACTTGAAACAAACCCTATGTACACTTTATGACTAGTTATTTTTTATACCCAATATTCTGAAGTTCTTAGAAGTTGCCTAAATTAGATTAAAATTAAGATTTGCTAATAAAAAGAAAATTTAAATTTCAATAAATAAAACAGTTACAACATTAAAACTATATCTTGGTCTGAAATGTGTCCTGTTTTTATCCGTCTTCTGTTTGTGGATTCATTTTTTTGCATTGTTTTTAGAACTTAAATTAACGTATAACTTATCTGTAGTAACAAAGAACTTGATTGATAAATAATCCATTTGAATATAAGGTCAGAATCATCAAATATCAAAAATGAGTGCAAGGGTCTGAAGTGGGTCATCAGTTGTGGACCTGTCAGCCACAGGCAAGTGAACGTGAATACGACGACGGCTTCAATTGTTAGAAGCCATTTTTGTTGTGAATATGTTTCTGTGCTCTGTTATGACGTAATTCAACAAAGGCATATTGTGTTTTATTAACTTGATAAATTATACGGGTCATTTATATCTAGTCTTTTTTATTTTGAATTTTTTTTAATTTTATGTCATATCATATCGTGACTGTGTCCCGCAGTTTCTTAGGGTTCTAGTATAATGTTTTAAAGTACGAACGAACGAACCGTCTTGCGCGAAGACTCTATAAATTCTTGTTTTAAAGCGGGTATGGCATCAGACCGCATTCACGCAGTGCGGCAGATTATAGAGAAGACCGAGGAGTATAATCAGCCCCTTTGTCTAGCATTCGTAGACTATGAAAAGGCCTTTGAGTGTATCGAAATCTGGTCAGTACTGGAGTCCCTGCAGCGTTGCCAAGTAGATTGGCGAAACATATATGTGATGAAAAGTCTCTACTTAACTGCCACCATGTCTGTCCAAGAACATAATTATTTTGTTCAAACAAACAAACAAAAAATTATTCGGCTCTATAATATTAGTATACTCGTAGTATACATCATTAAACGGCATTTATAACAGCTGTTAACAGATAAAACCAGGTGAAGTAATGATTATTATCGTTTTAGTCACTGCTAAGTATTGAATTTAACTATTAGGCAGGCTGCCAAGTATTGAATTTAACTATTAGGCTTTGACCACAAAATATTTGTGATGACAAATATACTCGCCTTAACATGACATAGTTATTTTGAAAAACTTACACACCAGCAAACTTATATACCTAATAGAACAAAAGAAATTATTCAGGTGAAAAAGAGTAAAAAGAGTTTATTAGATTAAATTGCCAATTGAATTGTCATATACCATTCATATTTGGAAACTCCTATCACGTGGTACTGTGAAGGTATCAGCCCCTTACCCAAACTTACCTAATCCAAATCTTTTACATTATGCTAACAATTTCATTATTACTGTTTTAAATCTTTCACATATGAGATTTAGATTATTATTTCATTACGGTTTGTTCTCTACTCTCTACTCACAATACAATTAACATGAATAAAAGAAAAGAAAAGCTTCTGAATATTTTATATACCAGCTTCTACTAGAATAATTTATTCCCAACAGAACTGTTTCTGCTTATCTCGGGTTTTGATTTTGTTATAGCTTATTTTATCTACAGTAGTTTCAAAAAATATACTCACAGTTTCTGCTATTGGGAAAGAAATCCCTGGTATTTTGTTAGGTGAAACTACTCGGATAATGAACGCCATTGGAGTTCAATTTCTTGCCGCATCTGCAGAATGGATTTACAAGATTCTAGGATTTTATAATCCTGTGTGAGGTGTAATGGGATAGTTTAAGATTTGTTTTTCATCAGCGTCTCATGTCTTATTCTAGTATGTGACAAAATAAGTCACGGTACTATTCGCAAATTATGGCTGAAGTTTAGTATATTATCTTTACTTTCATTCTCTGATGGTAAATGACAATGGAAAATCAACAAACATAGTCAGGTGGGACTTTCAAGTACCTCGGCTCCCTCTTACAATGTGATAGTGAGATTGATCGAACTGTAGAGCATCGAATCAATACGGGATGGATGAAGTGGCGGCAGGTAACGGGAACAACTTGTGACCCCAGTTTCCCCTTAACACTGAAGGGACAAATTTATAAAACTATTATCAGACCTGCCGTCCTGTATGGCTCTGAAAGTTGGCCCATTAAGAAAACGGATGAGAGACGTCTGAATGTAGCCGAAATGCGAATGCTGAGATGGATGTGTGGTGTGACTCAGATGGACAAGGTTAGGAATGAGTATATACGAGGAAGTCTGAAAGTAGCGCCACTGGATGAAAAGTTAAGAAGTAATAGGTTATCTTGGTATGGACATGTCATGCGGAGGGATGAGGAAAATGTGGCGAAGAAAGTTTTAGGTATGAGAGTTGAAGGGTACAAGAGAAGAGGCAGACCGAAGAAGAGATGGATGGACTGCGTCAGGGAGGATATGGCTAGGAAGGGAGTAAACAGTGAGATGACGCATGACAGAGTAGAATGGAAAAATCATACATACTGCGCCGACCCCAAATAAAATTGGGAAAAGGGTAGGCAGATGATGATGATGATAGTCAGGTGGGACATTCCGAAAGTTTATTTAATGACGAGAACGACACGCACCCTAATAAAGTTAAAAAAATACTACTTACTAAAATACCTACCTGCATACTATACCACCTACTAAAATATGTAAATATCGTTAAAATTATTTTTAAAATATTCATTGAAATAGACGAAAATTGAAATTTCAAACATAAACGCATTATATAAAACAAAGCATTTTCCTCTCTTATACTTCGAATGTGGGTGAAGTCACGTACGTAACATAGAATTTCCTCAACACTCTAGCTGCAACTGAGTAGCCAGCTTTCTTGTTCAAACCACTATGTAACCACTGTAACTAATTACGTTTGTACGTGTAGATACTAGATCACTGAATTTTTCATCTCAAAATAATTTATTTGGTGTTTTAAAACTATTATTTTTTATTGTAGCTTATAATTAAAGTATTTGTCAGTAAAGTAATGTATTCGGCATTAAACTTTTCAAAACACGAGGCTTGTAGAACAATATGAATTCAGATGCTGACTAACTGAATATTCTAGTCTTTTTAAAAAGGTTTACGCAAGAGGCCATATCTAGTAATTTTCTACTGGAAACCAAAGTTTGAATGAAATAAGATATGCAACTCTTAATTAACTTTCATGTAGTAAAAAGCTGTTTTTTTTTAGATTTGTCTAAAAATAAGTAAACATTACTTTCAATTAATGGTGCATCTTAGACTTGGTGAACCCCTTAAAAAAACAGTCGTGCACAGTTTTGCTAACAGATACTTTGCTCCTGCGCTGGCTATACACATCACACATTGATGTTTTTAATCAAACATCAAATATTTTTCGACATTCATTGTTTAGTCTGGTGTAGGTACTGAGGATGGATTATCAACTATCATTTGCTGTCTTGTGCAACTATATGAAGCTGCTTTTGTAAAGATGCAAGTATCCACGACATATTTATTTCAAAATAATAAACTACATTTAACTTTTTTGAAAAATACTAAGGAATTCTAGAATCAATGTTTGCAAGCGAATTACTTAAGGTAGTGCGAGAAAATGATTTAGCAAAAAAATGCCGCAATAAACAATAAAACTTTACAGTGTCACAATTTTACAAAATTTCTAGAAACAGAAGCAAATATACGCTTCTATTGTTCTCTATGTTGTAGCTGTTAGTAAAGTCCTTACGTCACTTAAAGCCGGAGTGCAACCACCCCACAAATCGGATTAACAAGTTGGTAAGCGAAGTTTCCAATACAACTGTTGGTTACCCTTTAAATTTGTAACACCACTGCTTTATACTTGGATGG